GGCAGGCGGGAATCGAACTCATGCGGAAGCGGCTTTAGATTCTCATTGCTGTGCTTTAACCCGCTGCGCCACCAGGGAGGGCCCTATTTATTTATATTTTTAAGCAGCTACTCCTCATTTCCTGAAACTCCCTGGCAACCACTAATCAACTTTTGGTGTCTGAATTTTAGGCTCCCTGTTAAGTACATTAAGCTACAGGATTCTACACTTAAAATATTTTTTCCACAGAATTTTAAATGCGCTGATCCATTGATTTCTAGCATCTTGTTTTGCTAGGAAGAAATCTGGAATTAATGGGGACCTCTTTTCTTTGTAAGATAACTTAGTTTTCCCCCTCTGGAAGTTTTTAGATTTTTCTCTTCATTTGTAAAATTCTGCAACCTGGCCACGAACTATTGATGTTTTAGTCTTTTCCATCCACCGAGGGTCACTTTGGCTGCCATGTTAATGAACAGACAGCAGGCCACTGTCACTGCTGCAGGGCTGTGGTCAGGGCAGCGGAGGGCTGGGAAGTGGCTGGACTTGAGACATTCTTTGAGAGTGGAGACAAAAGAGCAAGTCCATTGAGAGGATAGTATGTGTCTGAGCTGCTGGAAGGAGAAACTTGACATTTACTGGAAGGGAAAGGAAGGTTGTAGAGGAGCAGGTTTAGAGAGAAAATCAGGCATCTGGTTTTAGAACAAGCTGAACTGGAGCTCCCTACTGGACACCGGATGGGGTGATGCTGACTGAGGGCACAGCAGTAGCTACCACCCATGTGTCCACTTGTCTCATGTTGTGTGTTTATCCTCTTTCTGCTTCCTACGGTGCTTCGGAAGAATATTCTGGTTCAATTTTCCAAGTAGTTCCACTTTACTAATGAGCCCATCTACTGCTTTTATTGTTTTCTAGTGAATTTTTCTTACATCATTATTAATTTTGGAACAGTTTTGGATTTCTCTCCTCAGGTGTAGTCTCATAGTTCCACCACCATCAGTGACCCATCACCTATTTTATTTTTTAATGTTTTTGAATGGGGGAATATGAAAAAGAACCTTATTTAGAAAAATTTCAAACATGTACAGACTTAGAACTGTACAATACATCTGCACACACCCAACAACTACCCTTCAACAACTACCCATCATAGCCAAACTTACTTCATGCAGGTCACATCCACTTCCCCCAAACCCAGCCTATTTTGAAGCAAATCCTAGCTGATCATTTAGCTATAAATAATAATCCCATTTTTAATGTCCAAGACCTGTAGTTGGTATAGTGTGCTTTTATCTCTTTCTAAGGATTTCTCCTCTGTCCTATGGGCTCTGTTGCCTCCAATGTTGGTCGTTCTAGTACTTGATTTGGGTGCATTTTTATACTGGTTTCCTCACCTGTTCAGTGACTCTGGTTTCTGCCATCATTGGATGGCAGTCTCTAGTCTTGCTACTGGGTGTTATGGTTTGTATTTTCCTTGTTCTTCTCCATGGTGATGTAGAAGGGAGGCACTTCTGGGAGTGCCATGCCTCTGTCTAGCTGGTAGAAAGAAGCCCATGCTGCCCGCTGTCTAGCACAAGTGGGAAAGGGAAGGGCCCAACCTGCCTTGTGGGCTGCATCAGTTCTTCAACCAACCGCAGCTAGTGATGGCCCAGCTGCTTCCACTCCCCAGATTAGGTGGCTTGAGGTGGTCCCTACAAGTAATGAGGAGGACCCTGGATCCCCATAAAGTCAGCCTTGGTCTCTAGGCAAATTTGGCCCAAATCATATAAATACAGAATTGAAAATAAAGAGGTAACTGGTTCTTACCATGTTGCTTCTCTCAATCATTGGTGAGGGTTGAGGTGTTCCAGATATTGGGGTGGAGAGTGGGGTCTTTATTTCTTCTATCATATTTATGATTTTCTCTGGTACTTTGGTGGCATCGACACATGTTTCCTGCCACCTTGGTAGTTTGGAATTAAGTAATTCTGCAGACTGTAAATACAAAAGAAACAAAGCTGAAGCCAAATGGGCATTGTTCAGGGTTGACCAAAAAGTACATCAAGTAACACCAGTGAAGATGTATTACTGGCTCCCAGAAGTGTAAGCTTTGAGTTAAGGATGGTGAGTGTTATCTGCTGAAAGGAACTTCTGCTCATGTTATCTGCTGAAAGGGATACAGGTCTCTGTTCTAAGGAATGTACCTCTTCCCTCAGTATGAATGCAGAGTACAAGACTAATACAGGATTGTAAATGGTTAAGAATAAGTCCAAAAACTAAAAGAGATGGGTTGAGGATTTTTCCACTGGTCTTGGAAATGCCAATCACTGCTTTCTTCCTCCCATTCCTTCTAAAAGAAGCACCTCCAAACACAGGTGATCAGAAGCAGACTTTTTGACCCCAGGGGGAACCAGATTTATTTGTCAGAGAAATGGATCAGATCTTCAGCCTGAGAAATTCACCAACTAGACAGAAAGACTAGAGGCAGGGTATGCAGGTTCTTAGGTACAGGATAGTACAGAGGGTACAACCTGACAAAGTCTGATGCTTTTCAGGGAATCCAGGCTGCAAAGCAGAGACAAAGGTGACAAAGATGAGAGCCCATGGCCCCAGGAGCAGAGGCAGCTGTCTCTAGTTCCCATAGTCTATTCTGCTCCTTCAAACTGGGCTCCCAGAGGTACCCTGGGCTCCACTAACCTCTCTTCCAGGGCAGCAATCTGGTTGGGAAAGGGAAGTTAAAACCTGTCTTGAAGCTATTTTCACAATAATCACAGTTTACTTAGACTCTAGGTTCATCAGAAGTGGGCTGGGCAGTGATGTAAATGCTAAGGGAGGGCAAAGCCCCTTCCCAAACCACTCACATCCTGGACAGTAACTGACACACTGTGGACCAATTGCTTGGGCCAGCTTCATCCATATCCAAGGAGCCATGGCAAGGACTGGGTCACTTTAGAGTGGTTTTTAGAGAGTTGAATAAATTTCTCATTTTGAAAAGAGGCCAATTTGATTCATGCCAAGATGCATACCTGGAGCCCACTGTTAATGATAAGGAAGACTTTCCCAAAACAAGTTTTCTGGAAACAGACCGGGTGCCTTATGATGGTGATACCCAGAGCTGGGGGAGTGTCACTGTAGGAAAAGATCTCGCTGGCCATGATCATGGCCCATTTATGTTAACAATTTTAGATCCTAGGCATTTAGATTAGGTAGGTAAATATTCCTTAAAATTGCAAAAACTCTATGGAATGTAACAGATATGCTAACATATAGGTCAGGTTTTCTTCCCACCTCCAAATAAAGAGGCAGTTGTCTTATACTCAAGTTTTTACAAAGCTTCTCACATCATGAACCATTTTCTAAGTTACTTTACTGTGAACAACAAAAAATGTTTAACTTCAATAGATGCTAGTTTCAGATGTTTACATAGGTCCATAGAATTCGTAACTTTAAAAGGAGGAAGAGAAATCCAATGTATGTTTTGGAATGACTCCACAGGTCATAACCTCCAACAAGAAGGATGGCAAAGCCAGGTGCTCCATGGTGAAACAAACTCCGTGAAAAGGAAAGCTGAAGGGACTGTGACCACGTTCTGATGCGATTTCCAGGACCACCTTGGTGTATGGAGCCCACACCTCCCCCCACCCCTGCCACCAAGGCAAAAATCTTAAACCACACAGCTGGGGGGACAGATGTCTGCTGGGACTGACCCATGGCTCTGGGAAGACATGGGTGCTGGGGCTGCAGAAAAGTCTGAGAAAAGCTGACTTATAATGTAATTGAGAAAAGTCATTTCTCAATTATTAAGCATCATTTTCTGAAATTTTAAATATGGATATATTTAATTAATGGATGTATGCTAATTTAATGAAGTATTATAAGCAGATATTTCACCATTTCATTTAAATTTCTAAAAGTTACATATTCAAGTTGGCCAAAATCTATTTCTTTTGAATCTTTTCATTTCTAAACAGGCCCATCACTTCATATTAGGCATATGTGGAAAGTGAGGTTATTTCAAGGACATTTAACTATGAAACAAATTATTAATAACTAACGAATAATTTATTAATATTAACACTATCAATAGCTATTAAAATTACATTAATAACCAATAACATTACTATTAGTAATCACATAATTAATGCATGTAGCATAATTTGCCATCACACCCACCTGAGAGTGATAATAATATATGTGACTTGCAAAACTACAGTGTTTGTCAACCAGAAAGCAAAAACGCCTTTTCTCTTCGAGCAGAGCTTCTCTGCAACCTTCAGCAATAAACTTCTGGATTTCACTCTGCCGAGAAGTAACGGTTTCTATGTACTAGGAAAATAAACAATAATTACACACGTATGACACAAGGAATCAAACAGTTGCACGGCCTGACATTTATCTTCTGCCAGTTTTACATTTAGTCTATTTTGGTAATGTAGCAAATACTAAATGCAGACAAACGTTGGAGGAAATAATAAAGTTGGAACCTGACTTGAGCAGATATCATCCTTCTCATTAAGATCCCTGACTCACCGATGAAGGGAGGTTGTTGCTAAAGGCCTGCCATTTCCATTGGGCAATCTGCACAAAATATGACTTTGTGCTCTAAAGGTCTGACTATGATCTACTGGAAAATCATGGGCTTTGGAGCTAGAAAGCAAGTTCAAATCCCAGTTCCAAATAGCAGTCATGTGGCTGATTGCAAACCCTACAGATTGCCCACAACAAAGTAAGGTAGCTATGAAAAGATCACCTCAATTTCCTTATTCTCATATTTGAGTGCATTTCGCGCTCCTTGACTTTTCCTTCTGATCTTCTTCAGCTCAGCTTGAGACTTCTCCAAAGAATCTAATTTACTCCTGTGTTCCGTTTGGTATTTTTTCAGGGTTGCCTGCAAGGTAAACATTTTACTGCAACAACACACACACTGTCAAGCCGTCCCTTCCGCAGACAATTCCACTAGATGCAGCTTGGCCCATAACACCCCTCACTCACATGCTATCCCCTTGTCCTGAACTCCCCATTTGGGAGAGGGGTCACTGGCCAGAGGGCAGCTCTTTGAGGACAACAATATTTTTTTTATTTTAATCCTTCTCTCATCAAAGGTTTTGAGACACTGGGTGTCAGTAAGTGTCATGGAGAAATAAACATTAAGTCATAGGTTCCTAACTGATGCAAGATTTATGATTTCAAGGAACAGCATGAACAAGTGTGGTCACTTCTGGTTATTCTTGGTCCATGTGGCAGAGCACTGAAGGGCACTAGGCATGGAGTTTAACATGCCTGAGTTAACATCCTTCTAGCCTCACTCTCATTTGTGATCTCAGCAATGACTGAATTTCTCTAAAATCCCTATTTTCCTTCTAATTTGTACAGTGAGGATAATCAGCGTATGTCGTGGAGTTTCTATAGGGTAAACATCAGACTGTCTACTGAGAGCACTCAGTATTAAATGAAATGCACTCAGCAGTGTTCCGCCAGGATACACAGTGCACCGCTGCACGCCTAGGCAGTGGTACCAAGCAGGGTAACCCATGCCACCTACAGCCACATGAGGGTCTTTGTGAGAAGAAAGGGGCCTTCACGTGACAAAGGAAGCAACTACTCCACAGCAGATAGGGAAGGGAAAGAATCCTCTGTGCTGGAGCTGGAAGGCCAGGCAGAAGGAGAAAAGTGCCACAAAAGTGGCAAGAGACACCATGTAGGAGAGGTCTCTGATGAATAGCCAGGGAGCCGCAATGACCTTTCCCCATGCACTTACACCCCTGAGAGTGGCTATAAAAGCAACAGCCACATGAATACAGTCAAGGTGCCCTCCACACATGTATGTTTTTTGAACACAGTGCTTTCCAGGAGAGGGATGATTCTTTGCAAAATGTATTCTATTCTTTTAAACAAAGATCCCAAGAGTTAGTAAAAATGACCCCATGGAGCCCAAAGAGTACTTGTTGGTTTTCTGCATATGTGTAGAAACCACACCAAGACTCATGTGCACTTGCTGCTGCTGAGTAAACTGTGGGGCAAGTCCTCTTGGGCTCAGATCAGTCAAGCACAGCTCCGGGAAAGCCAGGACCCAGGCATCATATCCACCCCCACTCACGAGTGGAGCAAAACCCTGTACTTACATTCATGTATTTTACATCAAGTTCTGTCTTCTTCTCCAGCTCCTGTATAATCTCTTTATGAAATTTTTTGAACTGTTAGCAAAAGGGAATTAAAAATTCATATCATATTTGAGGCTCTCAATAGGATAAGGCTTAAAAATAAAATAGATTTTATAAATGTTAAAACAGTTCACATACATTTTCATCAAGACGCTCATTGAGTTTCTTGTGGGTACTGGAAATCTCTATAAGAACACGACCTGTGAACAAAACCAGATATGTTAGGGGGAGGGAAGTCATTATGTGGTTTTGTAAAGCCATTATGGAGAGTGAAATCATAAAAGCAAATGCATCGCTGTCCTAAGTGACTGTCAGCATCAGGCCGGGACATCAGGGCCACCAACTGTGTCCCCAAGATGGGAGTAGGATCCTGAGGGACTCAGCCGAGAGCAAGCTTATTCTACAACTTATCAAGAGAATGCCAACTTGGTCTTTAAATTCACATTGTTTTTTCCATATCTACTGGTTTCCTAATTGAATTCTATTTATCTAGTTTAATTTTGAAGTTCTCTGCAAAAGATTAACTTAGTCATTATAGTAACTAACTATAGGAACAAATACTTATTTTAATCTAATCCCCGGAGTAATCTGATTATCTGCCAAGCATGAATTATAAAGCTTTTTAGCTTTTTTTTTTTTTATTTCATCTGAATCTTTTCTTGTCCTAGAAAATATTAATGCCTCAAGAAACCCTGCAGGGCACTGCTCTGTCTCATATCTCCCAAGAATAAACCAATTTTCTGATGTAAGTACAGTCACAACAGAAGACAAGTCCACTGATTTGCAAAGCTCACATTGTACAATCCACGGCTGTGGAATCTCTGCTACCAAACTCTAATAAAGGTGAACAAGAGCCTCTGTTAACAGAAGCCAAACAGATCAGATACCCAAGAGCTGGGAAACATAAAGAAATAATTTGGAACAATCACCACCACACAACAAACAACAAATGTACTAGGCTAGGCTGATCTGGTGGCTTGGAGAGATAGAAAATTCTTTGGCAAACTGAAGGGCTTAGGTGAGGGGGAATTAAAATTAAGCCGATGGTAGGATATGGGAAAGATAAAGAACACTGACCAGAGGATGACCTGAGCTGTCTTCTCTACACAATGACTCTGCCATGCCCTGTTCTGGAAGCACTTAGGACATCTGACTCTTGAATCGGCAGTCCGTTCTTTCTTGCATCTTCAGGCTTAGAAAGTCAGCTCCTTCCTGTGTATGTCCACCTGGGTGTCCCATTAGACAGCTCATACTCAGCATGTCTAAAAATGAACTCACCTCATGTCTCTAATGTCAGGTCCTATCTGCCAGTCTCCAGGGTGACACCTCACTTAATGTGTCATGCTCATTCCTGGTGCCACCCCCACGATGGAAGCCTGCTCCTTACTCATCCTGCTTTCTCAGACAACAAACATACCAGCCCTTCCCTGTCTGTGTGGGAATGACATGTGAAGTCTATGGTCACCCAATAATCTGTTCTGCCAGACCTGAGGAAAGAGATACCCAAAAGTGCCTCCCACCCCCAACAGTCAAACCGGCCAGCTGGACCTCTTATGCATCTCCTTAACTTCCCACCTCCCCTCATTCAAGCTCTTGTCATTTCTCTTGACCCCAGCTTGTTCTCTTCTAGGTCTTTTCCCTTACAGATACCAGGAATCTTACCAGATGCAAATATGTTCTTGCCCCGACCCCACCCCATGTGGTGTCCAGATAAACTTGCTCATTAGCACCAAGCCCAACATGAACAGTGCTGCTTAAAATAATCATGGCAGGTGGTAGGGACAGAGACTCTCCTGTGAGTATAAATCTTATAAGGCTATAAGTAATAAGATCAGATGTCTTATATAACCTGTAAATCCCGAAACACCATGGCATTCTAGGAACCTCTAACAGAACAGCCAGCTGCATGAACACAAGGGCAGACACATCCCTGGCACCTGTAGTTTCACCATTCCAAATGGTCAAGGTACCCGCACAACATCCTTGATGACATTTATCCCATAATTAATCCTAAAGCTCAGCAGTAAACAAATCAGAACTCTTCACAAAGGAAGCCTTCACATGACCAAGAACATGACCACATGAATTTGTCATTTCAGATACTGCAATAATCTGAGTTACATTCACATCTATTTTAAACCCACAAATAGCGTCTTGTTGGAGATGAAAAAACAGGAATAACGATGTTAAAAAAAAAAAAGAAAGAAAGAAAAGAAAGAAAAAAAACACAAGTATTTGAAAAATCAAGCAATGGATTCTTAGCAAATCAAAGCTACTTTTTAAAAAGTTTAAAAATAATTCTAAAAATAAATCAATTATGAGTAATTTAGAAGCCAAGCAGTCACATTTTCCCCGTAAGGTCATGAACTGTATTTCTACCACCTTATACAATGTGGACCTCTGGGAAGTGTGTTGCCAAAACAGAAGTGCGTGCTAATGTGGTTGTTCCTGTGGACATACCGGCACCATAGACTGGGTGCCAAGCTCCCCCAACCCCCGCAGGCAGCTTGGTGGGAGGCTCTGTGAAGCAGCCCATTCACTCTGCAGGCAGGCATGAACACCCGCCCTTTCCCTAGTGAATCCTGTCCCTCACAGTTCATGGAATTCAAACGCAGACCTCATAGCAGCAGTCACTGAGTCCTCGGCCATAAAAGGGGCTAAAGACATCTTTGCTGCTATTAGGTAAAACTACCAAAGTGGTATCTTGAAACAGGAATGAAAATGGTGTTTAAGTTCAACCTGCAGAAGTTTGTTCTTAAATATAGTGTTACTTTATGTCTAAAATGTGGATCACATAGATTTGTTTACTCCTATCCCTGCAACCTTCTTTCCCATAAATTATATGAAAAGAAAAAGAAATTTTTGAAAGGGGCAGTTGAGAAAGTACAGCTCAGATTCTAATGGAGCAGAATCAAACACGCCTCAACAGGAACAAACATGTGGATCCCAGAAATCACAGGATCTCGTATGTATGGGACCAACCATTTCCTTCTTTCCCTTTTAGGTTTTGAGTCAACATTTTGCAAAGCAATTCATGGTAACTACAGTAATGTGACTCACTCTGAATAAATCATGTTCTTCAATTTCAATGTTAAAGGAATTTAAATATATATAGAGTTCAAAATCATGAACTTGACATAAGTAACAAAGATCAAATAGTACCGTTGGTATGAATACACAGTAAGTCTTCATTTGAAATACTGGTTGTTGCACTATTACTATTATATTCAAGTTAATTCATTAACTCACAATGTAAATTTAGAGGAACAGATGGAGACCACTGGATCTGAGAAGCACAGACCACGCAGGCACACATATTCTTTGTCATTATATTTGGTCATGATTAATCAGAACACATTGATTATTCCAGGGAGCACAGAACAATGACTGAATCACACTCTACTGCCTCTATGTTACTTGAAGTAGAAACAGGCAATAAAAGAACAAAGGCAACTTTAGGCAACCTACCACTTCCCTAAAGTTATACTGTATGGATTAAGGTAAATCTGACCAGAAAAATGTCACTGGAAAAAGGACATACTTTTGATAGTTTTCTAAGTATCAAATGTGACAAGGAGAAAACAAAATAGAAGGAGAAGCAAGTGACACACAGGTGGGTATGGTAAGCAACCTCTGTGGGTCAGAGGTAGTCGCTGAGGATGGGCCTGTGACCACACTTGAAAGGCTCAGCAGTGCCTGACAATAGCTTAGTGTTGTCCCCACAGTCCCTGGATGCAGCACGAGGCACTCGTCCCTGATCATGTCTGAATGAACAGTGCATGTCAGGATAATGTCAGAGGAGAGACAGGGTGAGCATTTCATTGAACACTCCTCCCTGAGTCTAACTTCTGGTTTAACCAACTATGGCACTAAATGTCTTGTATGGAGACTAGTTACTTTACCACCTTAAGGAAACAAATGGGACAAACACGTTCTACAACTAGAATTATGAAGAATTCAAGTTATTCATTGTCTGAGATGACAGTAAAGGTGCCACGTAATATCTTGACTTTGATAAGAAAAAAATCATGCTGAGGTACGTGATGAAATCTCTAAGGAAGTCACTAAAGAATAAAGTGCATGTAACTACCAAACTAGCAGAGAGGGAAGGGGGGAAGTAATCAGTCAAAAAGAGGATGAGAGAATAAGTGAACTGGGACAGTAGAAAGCAAAAAGTAATTGACAGAATATAAATGTGCTACATAATCCAGTTTAAATGCAGAACTTCTTAGGGTTAAAAAAGTAACACCAAAATGATGGAATGAAATACATGGCAAACACTAGCCAAAATAAAGCTGATATAGGTGTATTAAAATCAAGCAAGACAGAGTCTCCTTGGTGGCACAAGGGGTTAAAGTTCAGCACTATGAAGCTATCCATAGTAACTGCAGCTTGAGTTAGATCCCTGGCCAGGGGGTTGACCTACATGGCGCAGCAGACCTCTCCTGTCTTAACTGCTGCTTTCCTCAGCAGTGGATTTCAGCAGATCTGCCTGTTCTGTTCCACACTCTGTCTCTGGTGAATCCTCTCACCCCATGTCCCAGTACCTCTGGCCTGTACCCCAGTTCTTATGTGCATAAATAAATAAATCTTAAAAAAAAATCAAGCAAGACAAACTAGCCAAAGAGAGCAAGAAAGAATTATAACAGATGAAAAAGTCAACTGCATAATGCAAAAAGTTCAATTCATTTGGAAGAGAGAAAAAATTTTATTTTTATGTATCTATTAATATGGTCTCAACATATTTAAACCAAAACTGAATTATAGACCTACATTAATTCAATAGCTGTAGGAAACCTTAATAGACTTCATTTAGTAAATTAATAGAACAAATATTGTACAAAAAAAGAATCAGTATAGATAATAGATGACATAAGTAAATTTGATCCAGTGGACATATACAGAGAACTATATTTAATAACTTCATTCTTAAAATCAAGCACAGAATGTTAAAAAGGGGCAGAAGCAAGCTTCACTACAGATCACAGGTCTGAAATGATACTGAGCTTTTTTTTTAACCACACCATAATTCAACTTGAGGTAATTAACAAAAAATAACTAGAAAATGTCTATGCATTGAAAAAAGCCACTTTTAAACCCACAAGTCAAGGAAGTAACTACAATGGAAATAAAAATTATTTTGAAATGAAATAATAAAGTACAACATATAAAAGCATGTAAGATACAACAGGAAATTTAT